ATAGTTGGAGGAAGCTTGGAAGGGCAGCGGTGGTTGTGGCCCTCAGGGAAGCTACAGGGAGAGTTCGTTGGTCTACTGTTGTAGCGACGCTGTCAAGGGCAGTTGTGGTTGTGGTCTACAGGGAAGGAACTGGAGGGGGCAGCAAGGCTGGCGGGCTGCTGGGAGGGACGGCCAGGGGCAAGGAGGAGCTGGAAGGGCTGCTGGTAGGTGGTTGACGAGGAAGACAACATCTGGAAAGAGTCCTGAGGGAAGGAGCAGGGTTGACAGTAGTGGAAGAGGGGCTGCCGTGGCTATACAAGAGCAGGAAGGTGGCTGAGAGCAGTGGAAGAGGGGTTTCCGGTGGCTAGATTCTAAAATGGCCGCAGAGAAACGAACGTATGATAAGATAAATGCCTCGTCGAGGTCGATCTACAGTCGGAGCACCACTTGGACCCTTGGAGACAGTCACTACCTCGAACGAGGATCAATCGGAGCACTACCTCGACGTGGGATACAACCCTCGAAGGGTAAATACGAAACTAAAACTTGAATTCATATATTAAAAACAAAACCCCCAACTCTAAGCACATCATCCCCTATTTATAAATAGGTTAGACTTATTTTAAGTAATGAAAATAAGAAAGGAGAACAAAATATAATCAAGATTTTTAGTTTTTAGGAAAGTATTTAAAATAAGAAAGGATTTTAAATAAAAAAGGAGAATAAAGTATAATCAGGATTTCAGATTTTAGGATGATTTAAAATAGGAAAGTGCCAGGAAGGAAATAAAGGAAAGGGAGGAAATGAGAGGAAAGGTAAGAAAATTATAATGGATATTCAGATTTAGGAAAGAGGAATAAAAATATCCAGAAATTATGATTTGGAAGACTTATATTAGGAAGGTGTTAAGAATGAAAGAGGGGAAGGGGAGAGAAGGGAAAGGAGTGACACCCGCCCTTCATTTGAAGACCGTTCGATCCTCTATAGCCCCCGCGTCATGAAGTGTTGTGACTGGTAGTTGTGTAGCACCTTGATGAAAGGACAATGAGCATAGCATGCACTTTTGTATAAGCGAATGTTGAATCCAGATATTTGGATACTGTATATGTTTTGACTATATGATGGAGTAGAGAAGCAATTTTTAGTGCTGGCGTCATAGAAGAGAGTCGAGAATGAAAAAATAATCAATGGGTGTGGCCTTTCTGAAGTATCAGGTCCTTTTAGAGTGATAGGTGGATCAATCAATACTTGCCCTCCTTACTTTGGCAGTTAATACCTGATATGGACTTGTGGTCCTCTCTGACATTGATACTCCACACGAAATTCACTCTCATTGAATGATATGATGCACCATAGTTGTGAGATCTATGATACTTTTGCTTGCGATGATGCTAAAGAGGCCTGCTTAAGAAGATACGATCTTGGAGGATTGTCAGGTGAAGACTGCTAAGAGGACATCTTGAGAGGAAATGCTGAGAGACACCCCTAAACAAATTTCCAAGAGATATCTCCAAGTGGCATTTTATTGCACAGGGGCCTAAGTGCAATTTAGTCTTTTATTAGTTATTATTGTGGGGATATAAATAGGGCTAATATGTTTAGGGTTTGAGAGAGATCGTCAACCTCTCAAATTGTAGGTGCTTATCTTTATAAATTCATGTTGTGTTGTTTTGTTTTGATGAAATAAAATATTTGTTTGCCCAAATTTTTGTGAAAAATCATAATGGTTCACAGAGAAATCAATATGGGATTGCAGTGAATCCTGCGTCGATACAGTCGAGACTTGTTGAGAAGCCAACAATTGGATCACAATCATACAAGAGTTCTATGCCAAACCTAGCCGTTGGGATCGTATAGGAGTTTCTTGTTAAACCTATCCATTGGGATCTCAACCATACAAGAGTCGCGGGAAGCCAAAGACGGGATCACGACGTATTGTGACGTGCCCTAGTGACCAAACGTCGCTATACTGTCACAATTTGGCGAACTGGGAAGCATACAATCATGATTTTAGTGAACTAGGAAGCCAATGACAATTTTTTGTTTCACCTTCGGACTGAACATCATGATCTGAGCTAGTTGCGAAGTGAAGAGATTGCGATACAATCCAGATCGACGGGAACCCTTGCCATACCATCACGATATGAGTGAACTGGGAGCCTTTTACAGATCACGACGTACCATCTTGAACGCACTTCACGAGATAGTCGCGATTCAAGCTAGTTGGGAAGCAACGACAAGATCAGAGTGTACAGGGCATTGTGTTGGTGACTAAACCGCTCAAAATAATCGCCATTCGAGTTAGTTGGGAAGCTAGGGATGGATCGAGGCTTACAATTTTGGAAGCCATGAAATCATGGCTTACGACCTCCCAGTTCAGTTGAGATTCAGAGTTGAGATTCATGCAAAGATGGGATCACAACATACAAGTGTTCTGCCTCTGTGATAAAAAATCGTCCTGGAGTAATGCTAACCAAAAGAATAAAGGCTCTGGAGAAAATATTTGAGGAAGAAGTGAGCCAAATCAGATCGGAAATGGAGGAGCATCTCTCTTACATGGAGGGATGATTCTCGTCCATGGAGGGGAGATTCACGGCCCTGGAAGAAATGATGAAGAAGATCATGAAATTTCACGCAAAACCGTTTGTCACGGAATCAAGCATCGTCGGGTACGGATGCGAGCGAAAACACTTGGAAGAAATAACTCTGCATTCAGAAGGCTGGAACCAACATAAGCAGACATGATTGACCAGATTTAAGTGACATCATATGGAGTGAATTGCATGATATCTAGTGGTTTGGAACGAGCGACAACAAACCGTATGAGACAAAGTGTGCTTCGGAGTTGGAGAAGATCTATTTGAAGGATTTTGGTCTGGAACAGATTACCACAGTTGGTGGGACACCGGCAGAGGGTTGCATCCAACTGTGTTAGTGCCTTTTGATGCGACAACCTTCCGAGTGAATATAAGAGTAATTTTGGGAACAAGAGAGGTGGAGAGGAGAAGGAGAGTTTGTAAGGGACTGATTTTGACATCGAAGAGTATTCAAGGGGGGACAAGACGGGGGTGC